AATAATAATAATAATAATAATAATAATAATAATAATAATAAAGAAAAGCAAAAATTGTCTCCTCCAGGCAATGACTCACAGATACTATGCAGTGAGGGGATTGTAAAACTGCTACTACCTAACATTTGGATGGATCACATATCAACTAAGGCATGTTGATAACATGCCTCTGAAGATCTTCCAGAATCAGAACTAGGAAATACCACTACTTCACCCCACAGCCTTCAGATTGTATAAGAAGGTCCATCCACTTGCCAAATATGCAAACCTGTTCTGCGTTGATTTTGTGTATTCTGAACACATTTACATCTTTATGATCAGCATCTCTTAAGCTTTTGGCACTAGTCCCTATGGGGAAACAAGGCATGAAATTATCAAGTAATCACTTTATGTATCACATAGTTGACCTGAAATAGTTCTGAAATCACTGAGGAAGATACTAATTCTGGTTCATTCTGTGACACCTAGAAGTATGTTTATGATAATAAGACTACAAAGATAGGTTGGATTCCTGTATGGTCCATGTGGCTTAGTAGTTCTGCATGTGATACATCTGACCATTTAGCAACCACCAGACCTACCAAAGAGTTGCTGTAGCCTCCCAGCTCCAGCCATTCTGTGTTTGGGAAGAGCAGTGCAGGATTAGAGAAGTGTCTAGCTATGTCCCTGTATCCAGATGCAAATTATATCCTCCACTGAGATCCATGGAGGTCTCAGCAGATGATGTAATCATTTCATATCTGATAATGGGGGCATATACACCTCTCTGATCCCTCATCACTCTGCACCAGTCACAGAATGGCCATGGGGGTGGGGAAGCCATGGGCAGACACCTATAATAAAGCCACAGTTACACTAAAGCTATGCAGGCTACAATTAAAAATCTTCATTGATTTCAGGAGAATTTTGCTGGATTATACAAGTTGACTTGAAATGGTTCTGATTCAGGGAAATCTTGAAACAGTTAGCTCTGTATTGTTTGCCTGAATTAATCTATAGCTTTCGTGATAAAACAGAATTGAATTGCTAACACTGCAACAATAACAAAAGGAATCTTTTTATTGTACAAAACAATAATCATGCTGTATCTTAAAACCAGGGAGATTATGGGGAGAAAGGTGATCAAGGAAAGAGAGGGAACAAAGGAGAGATTGGAGAACCAGGACCTGCAGGACCAAGGGTAAGGCTGAACATATTCCTTTATTTGTTTTTGCATCACAGAATATATTGTATTTAATAATCTATGTCATTGTTTTTTACCTTTTAGGGATTTTCAGGAGTCAAAGGTGAACCAGGTCTTACTGTAAGTACATATCTATATGGTGCCTCATCAAAAATGTGTTAAACAGCCGATAGCACTCTTTCATAGCATCCAGTCTGTTCGTCAAGAGTATAACTTTCATAATCCCCACTCATTATACCTACAGGCTGAGAGTGATGAGAGTTGTAGACCAGATTTTTCTAGGGACCCATGTTCAGGACCTACCTTTTCAGGTATTGTCATTATTGTTGTGTGCCTTCAAGTCATTTCTGACCCATGACAACCATAAGGTGAATTTATCATGGGGGTTTCTTGGCATGATTTATTCAGAAGTGGGCTGCCTGAGTCTGAGTGTTACTTTCCCAAAGTAACTCTGGGTGTCTGTGGCTGAACAGGGATTCGAACCCTTGTATCCAGTGTCATAGTCCAGTGCTCAAACCTCTGTGCCAAGCTGGCTCTCACTCTTCAGGTATTAATTGAGATATACGTAGAGAGGAAAATGGGGTTCTGCCTACTGGGTCTGCACACCATCTTACACTTGTTTGACATAATTTCTGAAAGAACATATATGTGTGTGTGTACAAACTATACATGCAATTGAAGACCTTGCCTATTTAAAAATACTCTGTTTCAGTGTTGATACGATAATGAAAACTATGTTGTTGTTTTTTTTTAAAAAAAACAACCCCAAAAACCTCTATTCATTTCAAAAACTGGAAAACTCATTTCAAGTGCATGTTCTTTTTCAGAAAGAAGAGGTAATCAAACTCATCATGGAGATATGTGGTAAGAATTACACCGGGGAAAATTTCATTGTATACATTGCCTTCATTGAAAGAATTAAAGGATGGATGCTAGCAGGACTGGGTGGGATTCTACAAGATATGATCTGAACAATCATCACTATTATTCCTCTATAAAAAAAAATTCCCCAAGAATCTTTGAATCTTTTGCATGGTGAAGAATTCTATATGGAGCAAACTTCATGCATGAAATAAACTTTAGTGGAAAAGGTATACTAAATACTGACTTTATGATAAATAGCCATGATGTGACCTCTCAGGGTTGGGTTCAAAAAGTCAAACAATGTAGAACAGTTTAAAACAATCTAAAACAATCAAAACAAAAATATAGAAATTCACTTATGAATTAACAAAAATGAGGAAATGCACATCAAGGGAAAAAAGAGGACAAAAGAAGCAGAGATACATCTTAACATGTAGAAATTTAAAGTAGTCTAATTTTAAATTTTAAATTTAAGAAATATAGTCACCGTTTTGGGGAAGACTCTGACCATGTGACCTATGTGATCACTTATCCTTCAGCCTAGTGCTAACTCTTGCTTCAAAGCTCCTGCTTTTCCTTCTCATGGTTCTAGTTTTTCCACTTAGCATTTTGGATAAAGGGTTTACTGCTGTGAAATAGGATGCATACCTATCCTACTTAAAGGTAAAGGTAATCAGCCAATAAACAATAAATAATTCAAACCAATTCCACAAAAACTATTTTGTTGTTTAAAAAAGACATAATAAACAAAAGCAACTTAGTAGTTAGCAATTAACATAGAAGTTAAAATAACTTAAAAGTTTACAGCAACAAAAAAGACCATGTACATGTATACTTGAAAGTAAATTAAGCACCAAAGGCTTTAATATGGCACTGGAAATAAAACAACATTAGCTCCAATTGGACCTCCAAGGGGAAGGCATTACAAGGGGTGCAACAGCTAAGAAGACCTTCTCGTATGTCCTCTCACACCATATTGCCACAGGCAATGGAAAACCAAAATTAATAGGGAGAGGTCTCAAGATGTTTAGAGTGTTAGATGTCATCACCAGTACCTTAAATTCAGACCAGAAGAAAACTGGCAGTGAGTGCAGCTCCTTTAAGATCAATATTATATACTGTCCCACAGTTCAACTATTAATTCAGTGACTCAGCTCAACTTTGGACTGACCAATAGGATTCAGTAAAATATATATATGAAAAAGAGATATTGTAAGCTGTTGTAAAACTGTGAACCGTTTCCTTTCAGGTTGCGGTATTAAATGCAAGGAAAATCCTCTCGAGCTAGTATTTGTGATTGACAGTTCTGAAAGTGTTGGGCCTGAGAACTTTGACAGGATCAAAAGGTTTGTGAAAACAGTAATTGATGCTATTACAGTCAACCAAACAACAGCCCGTGTTGGCATCATCAACTTCAGCCACAAAGTAGAGGTGGTGTCCACTCTGCAGCAATACCTTAATAAGGAAAGCCTGAAAGGTGCGATAGATGCGATGCAGTATCTTGGAGAAGGTACATATACTGCCACTGCAATTAGTAATGCCACCAATATATTCAAGTCCGCCCGACCAGGGGTGAGAAAGGTGGCTATCGTAATAACAGATGGGCAAGCAGATCGGCGTGATCCCAGCACTTTGGAGGTGGTCGTGAAGGACGCCCATGGAAACAACATAGAAATATTCGTAATTGGAGTGGTTCAAAAAAGCGATCCCAATTTCGACAGTTTTCGGAAGGAAATGGATCTCATTGCTACAGACCCAGACAGTGAACACGTCTACCAGATAGATGATTTCATAACTCTGCAAGGTTAGTTTAATTTACCACTCCAAAAGGTTTTCTGGAATATTTTAAATACTGGTGACTCTGCTGCCTACAGTATTCTGGGAGTTGTCATTTTTAAAAAGGGAAACATTTCCAACCTCTAGCTGACCAATAGGTCAGCTACTATTTCATTTAACTTATCCCAATTCCTGTTCTATATATGCTTCCATCTATTGGTTTTATTCTTCTGTATATCTTCCAGCTCTTGAGGACAAGGTCTTCAAACAAATTTGTGAGAATGATTTCAGTTCCTATATCAGCCATGTGCTCAGTTCAGCACTTTCTCCTGGATCTGAAACAAGGCGAGAACACACTGGCCAGTTTGCCGTAGCTGGCACTCCAGAGCCAGAAATCCTTCCACCTAAGCCAGAAGTAACTGAACCTGTAAGTTTTTCTGAAGAATGCCATTTATATATGGATGTGTATCCATAGGTCATTGTTAGAGCCCATACTTTGGACAGAGATATTCCTAATTTTGACTTGTGGCTTGTTATTGAAACTTATCCTTGTTTCACCACTGACAACATTTATTTCTGTTTACGGTAATTTTTGTTTTTGTTATTTTGGTAGCTACACCTTCCGAGGATACCCAGTGAGAGAGTGGCATCCCGTGCTGAGTGGGATCACTATGGTACCACCACTTCTCCTAAGAATATTCCTGATAGTGGCAAGCAACCAGTCATCCCTTCTCTTTATGACCAACAAGAATACCTGGAATCCAGTACATCCAGTCCAGAGACCTCTGTGTCTTTTAATTTAACTAGAAATCTACAACCGGACACAGCGAGTACACAGCTTCACAGAGCAATAGGTATTGTCAGCGGTACAAAGGGGCTCTAAGACTGGAAGGGGAAAGGCAAAGAATGGGGTTTTGGATTTGTCATGCATCCTGTCCCCAATTGATTATGGCAAATGTGCCTATAAAAGGCTTATGACAGCTTCTGATAATACCTAAAATCTAAAATATAGAGATGATAAAGATACTCTTTCATCACTTCTGGTCTTTTTTGGTGATAATAGAGAGAGTCGCCCACATCAGAACTTGGCAATAACTACTTACAATTCATCTATAATTATAACTAGTTCCCACCCCCATCCCAAATAGCAAAGCATTTTAAGCAAAATTGTCATGGATTTCTATTTTGGCAGTTATGCTTTAACTTTGGTTATTGTGCTATCAACTGAGTTCAAGGGTGAAACTGTCACTCGGCAAATGAATTGGCTAATAAAGTAAAACCAACCAATCTGTAAATATATAATTAGGAACCAAAATACACTGCAGAAATAATCCAGTTTGTCACTTTAACTGCCCTGGCTCAGTGCTAGGGAATTCTGGGAACTGTAGTTTTGTGAGACATTTAGCCTTCTCTACCAGAGAGCCCGGTACCACCACAAACTACAATTCCCAGGATTCTCTAGCACTAAACCAGGACAGTTAAAGTAGTGTAAAACTGGATTATTTCTGCAGTGTGCTTTGGCCTTATGTTGCATTACCAATAATGAGGAGCTTCACTCCTTTTGTGTCGTAACTTTTCTGGATACATTTACTGCTATAGGATGTGGACTTAATAAACAGCGGAGAAGTATCACGTTTTCAAGTGCTGGCTTCTGCTCACTTACTCACTTATGCATACTGATAGAATTGACTGGGAAGAGTGTGTTTTATACCATAGGATAGCATTTTATACCAAGGGATTTTTTTCTACATGTAACATATGCAGATCTATCAGCCAACTGGTGAAAAGTTTCCTCCTTATAAACTGTGCTATTTTATATTACAATAGTTCCTCCCTTACCTGCTTCTTTGATTACTACAGAATTGTCTGCTGCCAGTATGAGTGGGAGGGAAATCGTATCACTCGTATTGTTCCAAGGTGATGGTGTTGTAGCTTCCAGCCTTATTAATAAATAAATAAATAAATAAATTATTATTATTATTATTATTATTATTATTATTATTATTATTATTATTAACTCCTGAGTCACTAGCCTTTCAAACATAGTGATGGTGGGGTCTGTGGAAGGAAGGGGCATAAACCTAGATGGGATTCTAAAGTTTACTCTTTTGTTTGCTGGCACGTGTCTTGATTCACCAAAGTATTGTCTCAATTTGATATCCCTGAAGAACTGAAACAAATCTAATCTGACTTGCATCAGATCAATTTTAGATTGAAGATTCAATGCAAGATACTAATGTTATATGTGATAGGTAAAGTTGGTAATTGTGATTTTGATAAAAAGTATAATTTTTAAAATGTGACCTGTTGAGATAGTATCAGTGAAGATTTATTGAAGTTGACCACCAGTCCTAAGGAACTGAGTAGGCATAATGTATAAGTTATGTTGTCAAGAAGTTTGTTCTTTGATCTTGCAAGAAGTCAGTCATCTATGTACAGGAATATTACTATACCATTCTGTCTTAGCCATGTGGTGACAACAGCCATACATTTTGTAAATACTCAAGGAAGCATGGACAATTTGAAGGAAAGGACTCAGAATGGGTAGGGCATTCCACAGCAAAGGAAAAATAATGTTGGTGCCATGGTCAATTCCTTATATGAAAGTTATATTCCTACAGCAGAGGGATATGAGATAAATCATGAGAGCAAGGGTCACAGATCTTTCTGCAACAGAGGCAGGATGGAGGAGAAGGTAACCTTCCTGAATCATCTAGGCTGAATGTACACGTTGACATCCCTGATGTCCAAAATTGGACAAAGACCACCATCCTTCTTGTTCATGATGAATTATTGGGAGAACAGCCAACATATTGATGGAACCAAGACAGGTTCAATGGTGCCTTTCCCAAGCAAGGTGGAAACTAGGTCCCCAAGTGTCTCAAATGGGGGAG